GAGCGGCGGCAAATGGCCGAGCGCATCCGATTGCTTGAGGCTGCGAACCGTGCCTTTATGGCGGCGATCACAGGGCTAACCCAAGACTTGCAGCATTTGGTGTCGGTTTTGGAACCGCAAGTTTCAGAATCCGCGGATGCAGCTGATGCAGCTGTGGTGCAATACGAGCTCAGCTGCGAATTGGACGATGTTTCGATGGCTCTAGCTGGTGCGCTGGATCGGCTGGCTACGGCAGCTGATGTCGCCGAACGGCTGCGTGGTGAAAGCGAGGCAGAGACTCAAACGTTGGTGGTTGAGCAGGCAGGGCTGCGCGCACATGCAGTTCTTGACGAAAATCAAGATGCCCAGCCCTTCGTGATGGACTGGAGCCCATGAAGAAAGTTCTCTGCCAAAATCCGGCTGCCAGCCAGATCGGGTCGCAGTGAGCGGAGCCTTCCGGCTGGCAGGCAGATGCACGGCTGCTGGCGGCCTGCCTTCGAGAAACCGACTCCGTGCCAAACTCCGGCTGCCAGCCAGATTGGTTGCGCGGCTGCTGGCGCCCAATTTTTTTAAAGTGCCCATAGCCCATAGTGCACTAAGTTGCACGGCGCACAGAGACTACGCTGAAGGCAGCAAAGTTCGAAGTCAACCGCAATGGTTTGCGTTTGTGTTGGTCGTGCAGAGGCAGTTGTGCATGTTGCGTGTTGTTAGCCTTTGGCTACAGAGGTGCAGGGAGTAGTCGCATGATGCAAGGCTAGCTTTTGGCAGCATGAGAGTCGACAAACATTGCAGCACATGTGAACAGAGGAATGCAGCACATGTTTCAGCCGTTTTAAAGGGCAGCCTATACGGCTTTAAGCATGCATTTTTAAACCCAGCCAGAGCCCGCAGTTCACGCCCACGGATTTTTTCGGTAACAGTCTAGAGTCTAGACTATACTATACAGTACACTGTATGAAGGACTATAGACTATAGTCTATATAAATATATAGTCTATAGTCTATAGTCTATAGTCTATAGTCTATAGTTAGTTAGTCGAGTCGACGATTAGCTTTTTAATTTTTGAATTATTGATAAATCAGCGAAATGAATTGTATGCTGCTGTATGCTGTATGCAGTGCCATCATATTGCATATTGCTGCATATTATTATTAATTATTAATTACTATCTATCAAATAATTCAATACAAAGTATCACTGAATCACTTATAATTCTATACCAGGGAAGGGCTCACTCTTATTGAGTGTGCAGCTCGATGTAGGATGATATGCAAGGATGTCAACTGTCAACGAGGTAGGGGCGGCTGGTTCATGGTTAGTGAGGCCACTACAACAGGCAGACGGCACCTTGAATTTGGAAAGAAATTTGTCCAAGTCCTCGTCACCGATGAGAGACTATCCTGGTGACACGCTGCAGCACTTTGCGCTGAGCTTTCTGTGACTTGGGACCGAGTGAGAAGGACTCACCCGCTGCAGGACGACGTGGGCGTTTTAAGTGCGTTGCAGTTTGTAGGTCGCTTGATTTCAACAATCCAAACCGAAACCTGCAACTAAGTTGAACCATGAATCCGAACTAGAATCAGAAATGACCTGAGCTATTGTGTTTCGGAATTTCCGGAATTTCCGGAAAAATTGGGTGCGTAATTTCCGATTTTCCGGAATTTCCGGAGGAGCGTAAGTTACAGAGGGTTTCCGTTAGTTACAGTATGGTTTGCGTTAGTTATCAGCCTCGTAACTTTCATACGGCAGAAATTCCATTAATTCAATAATTCATAATTTCCGGAATTTCAGGAATTCCAGAAATTCAACAAATCATAATTTCCGGAATTTCCGGAATTTCCGGAGGAGCGTAAGTTACAGAGGGTTTCCGTTAGTTACAGTATGGTTTGCGTTAGTTATCAGCCTCGTAACTTTCATACGGCAGAAATTCCATTAATTCAATAATTCATAATTTCCGGAATTTCAGGAATTCCAGAAATTCAATAAACTATAATTTCCGGAATTTCCGGAGGAGCGTAAGTTACAGAGGGTTTCCGTTAGTTACAGTATGGTTTGCGTTAGTTATCAGCCTCGTAACTTTCATACGGCAGAAATTCCATTAATTCAATAATTCATAATTTCCGGAATTTCAGGAATTCCAGAAATTCAATAAAATCATAATTTCCGGAATTTCCGGAGGAGCGTAAGTTACAGAGGGTTTCCGTTAGTTACAGTATGGTTTGCGTTAGTTATCAGCCTCGTAACTTTCATACGGCAGAAATTCCATTAATTCAATAATTAATATTTTCCGGAATTTCCGGAGGAGCGTAAGTTACAGAGGGTTTCCGTTAGTTACAGTATGGTTTGCGTTAGTTATCCGCCTCGTAACTTTCATACGGCAGAAATTCCATTAATTCAATACTTAGCAATGAATTGAATTTCAGAAATTCCAGAAATTCAAAAATAAACAGGGGCATCTAGCGCGCTTGCCTCACCCCAAGCGGGCGTGGGCCATGGGCTCTAGGACAGTCTAGTGAGTCAGTCTAGTGACTAGTGTAACTGTGCATACCGTACAGGCATACAGTAGCACTGGCAAGGAGCTGCGCGGGACTCAAAGCCATGGCGCCGCGCAAGCGCCCGGCAGCTCTGCCGCGTCCAGTGGAAAAAAAGCCGCGCGGCAGCGGCATCGCCGAGTACTTCCGGTGCGACGACGTGCCAAGTTCGGCTGACAGCCAGATACCGACTGGCAGTTTTCCGGCTGCCAGCCACGAGCCTGCCAACACCGAGGCCGAAGCCCCGCCTCCCAAGCGGCTTTGCGCAGGTGCTGGCATCAGCGAGGAGGTCTGCCAGGTAGGGTTTAGGAAGTTTACGGTTTATTGGCTTGGGCTCGGGCTAGGTTTAGGGGCTTCGGGGGTTTAGGGTTTAGAGTCTGCCATATAGCCTGCAGCCCTCAAACCTTAAGTCCCTAGACTATATAGACTAAAGCCTAAAGCCTAAAGCCCTAAAACCCTAAACCACGGCTCAAGATTGCTTGATCGCCAAAGTGCGGCGGCAACGGATTGTCACCGTAAGGACCGTAAGCAAAGTGTCCGGCTTCACTATGTACCGTGGTCGAGAGTCCAGTTATATAATGTGCCCCCTGGGAAGCCCCTGAGAGGCCCGGGGGGAAATCTAGGGAATTTGTACTGAATTTGAGCCGAATTTGAACTGAATTTGAAGCGAATTTGAAGCGAATTTGAAGCGAATTTGAGCCAATTTGCATAGATTTTGAACCCTAGGGGTCACACAGTTTTGTCCTACTGCCCTAGGGGGCAAAAAAAAATGGATATCGGCCTGCGGCAGGAACGGAATTCGTCTGAAGGCAAGAGGGTTGAAGACGAAGATTCATGTTTCAGTGTCAGGACTCTCAGGATTGCCAAAACTTACTTTGCGGCAGTAACGGAATTCGCCCGAAGGCAAAAGCATGGAGTTGAAGACTTGAAGATACATGATTCAGCGTCGCGAGTCTCAGGAATTTAGCCTGCGGCAGTAACGGAATTCGCCCGAAGGCAAACGCAGGGGTTGAAGACTTGAAGATACGTGCTTCAGCGTCGCGAGTCTCAGGATTGCTAAAATTTTAACTGCGGCAGCAACGGAATTCGCCCGAAGGCAAACGCAGGGGTTGAAGACTTGAAGATACATGATACATGGTTACATGATACATGATTCAGCGTCGCGAGTCTCAGGATTGCCAAATTTAGACTGCGGCAGCAACGGAATTCGCCCGAAGGCAACAGCAGGAGTTGAAGACTTGAAGATACATGATTCAGCTTCGCGAGTCTCAGGATTGCCCAAATTTAGACCGTGGCAGCAACGGAATTCGCCCGAAGGCAACAGCACGGGTTGAAGACTTGAGGATACATGGCAGGCTGCGGATATTTTTTTTGCTCCGCAGCCGCCGGAGCACTGTCTTGAGTCTGATGTTCTTGCTTGCTGATACCAACGGTCCTTTGCGAATCGAACGGAGACCCTTCAAAAGGGCGGCTGTGCGCCGCGGCCCCTGCCGTGGGCCGCCGCGCGAGCTTCACCAGGCGCTGCAGGATGCCCAGGGAGCGAACGCCGGCAGCCCGCAGCACGCAAGTGGCGTCCCGGGCATCACGCGCCTCTAGGTCGGTGCGGTGATCAGCCGGGACCGCAAGCGTTCGGAGTCTGGGCCCGCACCACACAACATGTGAAGGGCTGTTGCTCCAGCTGGCTTGTGGGCATGTGTGCGCCGCGGCCCCTGCGTGGGCCGCCGCGCGAAGCTCCACCAGGTAAACTTCCTGGTTGCCGAAGGCACGGGTCACGTGGACGTCGGGGCGAACCTCCACCAAGCGCTGCAGGATGCCCAGCAGCACGAAAGTGGCGCCCTTAATGGGATATTGGAGTCTCTGGGTGGCTTGACTGTGACTCTGACTCTGACTCTGACGTGACTGTGGTTTGATTTCGATTCTCTTTACTTTGTTGAGTACTGAACTGATTTCAGATTTCGTAGCTCTCGTCACGCTTGCCACGTCGAGTCGAGTCATGTCACACTCACAGAGTCACATGCATGCATGCTGCGTGTCATCAGTCATCACAATCTGTCCGTGATGTCTTTGTCGTCGTCGCGTCACGTCATGCATGCGGTCATGCTGCGGCCTATGGCTAGTTGCGTGAGTCTTAAATTAAATTCAATTTCTCATGAAAATTTTAGTCTGAGTCTTAGTCTTAGTCTTAGTCTTAGTGTTTACAAAAATCGGCCAACGGTGCCGGCGTTATCCGCGGCGAAAAGAAAAAAGGGTTTCGGCGTTTTCGGGTTCGGTTTAGGCGGTTTAGGCAAGCAGCCCTACCTAAGCCGCGCAGCCTAAGTCTAAGTCTAAGTCTAAGTCGCAGTCTAAGTCTAAGTCTAAGTCTATCAGCCTGACAGTCTATTTATTTTAAATGACTCTGAATATCAGGAGCCGGGATCGTCGGCTGTCAGCCAGGGTCCCACAGCGGCAGCGGATGAGGCTGCTAATGATGCCTACGATTCGTTCGATGACATGGTGCGAGACTCAGTGCAAGAAGCACAGAACAGGCGCTGGATGGACAGCGGGTTCTTTCACTCGGAGGAAGAAGAGTTGTCGCCGTTGTCGCCGTCGTATGAGCATGAAGAGAAGTTGAGAGACTGCCAGCGCCAGCCGGCTGCCAGCCCGAAAACGTCAGGGCAGCACGAGCCAGAGGACAACGGCACGACCGCCGAGCAGCCGCAACCGCTGGAGTCACAAGTGGACGGGAGAGTGAACGCAGCAACAGAGCTGGAGTCAATGGCGGAGCCACTCAGGAAGGAGGAGCAGCCGGAGCACAATGACAGCCAGGCGGAGCCACTCAGGAAGGAGGAGCAGCCGGAGCACAATGACAGCCACAGCAATTTGCAGCAGCAGCCGGCTGTCAGCCCGACAACACCAAGGCAGCCGGAGGCCCAACTGGACGGAGCAAAGAAAACAGTAACAGAGCAGCCGCAGTTGGAGTCAGAGGTACAGCCAGTCAGGAGCCAGGCACGCGTGGTTTCGGACTACCTATCTGATGCCTACTGGAGTTCCCATTTGTCACCTATCAAACCCCGGCCAACTGACAATGATGGCAGGAGCCCTCCGCCAACCGTGGCCCCAACAGTGATCGTAGCGCAGCCGGAGCATAGCCATGGCTGCAGCAATCTGCAGCAGCAGCCGGCTGTCAGCCCGACAACACCAGCGCAGTACCAACAAGAGGACAACAGCACGACCAGCGAGCTGCAGCAGCAACAGCAGCAAGCTGTACAAGTTCCTGTACAAGCGCAGGTAGTAAAAGAAAGCAAGGAGCAAGAACAGCGGCCACCGGAGCCGCAGCCCCAGTCAGAGCCAGGGTTACTGGGAAAGGAGGAAACAAAGACCAAGCAGTCGGAAGCCAGCAGTCTGCAGCAGCAGCCGGCTGTCAGCCCGACAACACCGGGGCAGTGCGAGCAAGAGGAGTGCAGACAGCAGCAACCGCCGGAGTCACAACTTGACGTAACCTTAGACGAAGCTGCAGGCAAAGAGCAACCTCCGCAGCCGCAAACAGAGCTTCAGTCAGAGCTGTTCAGCAAACAGGAGGAAAGAAGGCAGCACGAACAAGCGCCAGAGAAGGAAGGCAACAAAAGCGCAACAGCCACCACCGCCGCAGTGCTTTCCGCTGACAGCGAGCAACCCACGGAGCCTTTAGTACTGGGGAAGGAGGAAACAAAGCAGTTGGAAGCCAGCAATGACTCCAGTCTGCAGCAGCAGCCGGCTGTCAGCCCGACAACACCGCGGCAGTGCGAGCAGGAGGAGAACACTGCAACAGTACACGAAGACTCAGGCAAAGAGCAAAACCGCCAACCGCAAGCGCCAGAGTTGGAAAGCAGCAAAAACACAACAGCCAACGGTGCCGCAGAGTCTTCGGCTGCCAGCCAGAAGCCTGCGGAGCCTTTGCTCACACCAGACTCGCTCGCTTTGGTTCAGAAGGTGCAAGCGAACAGGGACCAGCAGTCCGACGAGTCCTTCGAAGCACTTCTGCAGGCTTGCAAGCAGCACGAACTGTTTGCTGCGTTCGAGGCAGACTTCCTCGAACACTGGGATTCAGATGAGCCATGGATCTTTCAAGAGTCGGAAGATCTTGAATTGTTTTTCGATTTCGTGCAAAGGAAGGCGAACTTAGACTTGCACCGTTTCGCCCGGGAAGCTTCGGACTCAGAGAGCTCGCAAGAGGACGTGTCCAAGACTAAGACTCAGACTCCGGCTGACAGCCAAGACAGAGCGCGCGCTGCTGACACTGCCACCCAGGCTGATTGTTTTCCAAAATCTTTCGGCTGGCAGCCACAGGACAGCGACAGCGACAGCGACAGTGTGTCGGGAATGCTGGAAATGGTAGCCCGAGCCAAAGACAATGACGGGCATGAGTCTGAGCCACGTAATCAAGCAGCAAAGGATCTTGGACCAGAGCGGCTGGTCCTTCAAGAGCCGGCGTTGTTTGCGCAAACCGAAGTGTGGAAGTTTTTGCAGCTTGCTTGGGGCAAATTGTCCCAGCAGCAGCGACAAGACTGCCTGCTCAATCTGACCAAACACACCCACTTCCGTGGCGAGGCAGGTGACACCTGGCGGCCAAGCGGGCCTTCCATCGGGACGATGTGCTCTGGCAGTGGAATGGCAGAACTTGTGCACAGAGTTTTGACCGAGGCGTTGCAGACAAGAGAAGTGCTTGTGCACAGTTGCGAAAAAGAAAAGTACAAGAAAGGCCACCTGCTGCAGTACGTCGCTCCGATCATGGAGCAAGGCAACCCGGATCCGGCTGTCAGCCAGAGGCACGGTTGCGTTTTCACAGAGTTTGCCTCATTGGCAGGAACGTCAGCTTACTGCGATCGCCACCAACGCACATGCCGCATCCAGCCATCGCCGCTGCTTGTTGTTGTTGGATACTCTTGCAAGCAACTTAGCAAAATGAACAACGCCAGCAACGTCGGAGTGTTGAGATCGCAGACAGGCTCCAGTGGGGAAACATGCTTCGCACTCATGAAGTATTTGCGGCAGCACCGGCCCGTTGCTGCGCTGCTTGAAAATGTGGAGGAGATGTCCAGAGAAAGCCAGGAGTCAGACAACGTTGCTTTCTTTTTGGAGCAGCTGGAGGCTTTGGAGTACAGTTTGGCCACAAAGCTTCTCGAAGCGTCGCACTTTGGGTTGCCGCAGGCTCGCAAACGTGCCTGGCAGGTTCTCCTGAACAGGTCCGTGTTTGACTGCTCTACGGAAACCCTTGACTCCATCGCACAGGCGATCCTGAACACTGCTTCGTCTCTCGGCTGTCAGCCACGTCCGGCAGTGGATTTCCTGCTTCCTGATAACGATCGCTACGTAGAGGAGGTGCTGGCGAAAAAAAAAGCAGGCAGCCCGTGACAGCTCTGGCGAACTGGAGGCTTGGCGGCAGAGGCATCGCGATTTCTTTGCGACCAAGAACATCGCTTGGACAGAAATTAAGCTGCCTGAGGTTGTGCAGAGCAGTCCCTGGGCCTGCCTACTCACAGAACGGGAAAAGGAGGTTCTGGCCTACAGTTTGATGAAGCACTTTGCAGACGTCAAGGCCTCTGGGACGCCTTCCGCTGACAGCGAGGGCCGCCAGTTTGTTGCAGTAGACCTTTCGCAGAGGCTTGACCGAGCCCGAGTCACCAGTTCCCCCGACTTGTTTTTCACGATGCTGCCAACCCAGAAAATCTGGATTTTGGCACGCAGCAAAGAGGGCCTGGTGCTTCACAACCGACTTCTGACGGGCAAGGAATCCTTGAGGTTGCAAGGATTTCCAGAAGTCTCGGAGCTGCAGGTGACTGACCACCAGCAGCAAGACCTTGGTGGCAACGCCTTCGCCAGCACAATTTTGATGGCATTGCTTCTGTCGCTATATTCCCACCTTCCGCAATACATGTGGACCGACAAAGAGCAAGAAGAAACGGCTGCAGCTGATGATGTGGAGCGGTTGCTTTGTGATATAGACGACCTGGACTAGTTCTATAGCGCCTCCTGGCAGCAAAGGGCCGCGTGTACGGCTGACAGCCAGTTGGACAGCAGGGCGCACTCCCGTGGCGCGGCGGTGGCATAGCTGCCCCCACTGCCTTGGCTGTGAAGCTGTGAACTCGCCCTGTTTGAGTTTTTGGACGTTTGAAGGCCTGTAGGGCCGAACCACGAGCACCACGTCTTTACACAGCTGAGTGCGAAAACCGGTGAGTGGGTGACGGTGCGTGCTTTGATTGAGCAAGTGAGCAGCTTGACAGGCCGGCTGTGGTACAGTGTTCCGACGTCACGTTCAGTTATGTTATGTTATGTTCAGTTCTGTCATTCTGTCTTCATGCTTGGGAACTCCGTGTGACATGTGACATGTGACATGTGGATGCTTCCATGGGCTCAAGTCAAAGTGGCCCCAAGTTGAACTATCTATCAGTCTATCAGTAGTGAAGTCAAGTCAGTCAAGTCTTAGGAGTTTGACAGACGTCTACAGTCCTCTGGAGAGAGCCTGAAACGCAGTAGGTGGTAAGACTAGACGAGAGTTGCCTGGCCCTGGTGAGCAAGTGCGGACGGGGGCCGCTGCGCTGAAGTTGGCTGCGTTGTTGTTGTTGTTGTTGTTGTTGTTGTTGTTGTGCTCGGCTGCCAGCCTGTTTTGTGCTCGGCTTTCAGCCTGTTGGGCACTCGGCTGTCACCTTGTTGTGTGCTCGCCTGTCTCTCTCGGCTGTCAGCCATGGACGAGGACTTGAAATCCGTCGCCGGCCGCTCAGAACGCTCAGAGGGGGCAAACACTGCTTCGACAGCTCTGTGTCAAAACTCCGCCGCCGGGACGGTGGTAGACGGACAAGTCTTCTTGAAGGTGCGCAGCTGCATCGCTTGCGGTCGCAAGAACTGCGACCTAAACGAAATCAGGGCAGGCTTGTTGTCGAAAAGCCGCTTCACAGTGTGGCATAGAGGCACCCCAGAGGATCCTCAGTCCAAGCACGACAGGGTTTGCCAGCTCACGTACCAGCACGGCGCCTTCGGAGACGAATCCATCGAAGAGTTTGTCAACAATCGGATGAAAAGAGATCCGCAGCTGCAGGCCGAGTTCATAGCAGCTCGAGGTGCCATGCTGGAGCTGCTCAACGAAGGCAAAGCGCGGTTCAGGGGCAAGACAATGGACTCCGCCAAGCAGCGCCTGGAGCTTGCCAGAAAGAAGTCTGTGGAGGAGTTCAAGGAGGCTTCGACTGAGGTGGTGACGGGCTACGTGTGCTGGGACCGGGCGCTCTTCGAGAAGGAGCACCCAGGCCTCATAGAAAAGAAGGGTTTGAAGGTGGCGAAAAAGGTCATAGACGGAAAAAAACGGGAGGTCGTGATGATCAGGAAAAACCGCGAGGGCATCTGGGACGTGAACGTCACCGAGAAGACAGGTGTTCGACAAATGGAAGAAATCGACAACGGCGAGCACGAGATCCATGAGGGTCAGCACAGCTTGAAGTTTTCCTCCTCAAAGAAGCGCCTGCACAACGCACTTGCCGAGAAAGCGAACGAGTCAAGCGTGCTTGCGGCTGACAGCCAGGAAGACCTGAAGGACAAAGCGCTGCCGAGGCTGGCTGAGTCTTCGGACGAGGACGGCGACTACGGGGTGAGGAGCACTTTGCTGGACGAGGGCGATAGTCCGCCAAGGAAAACCCAGCGGCCGAATCCAAGCAGCGGCAGTGGTGCCAACTTGCCTGCGCCCAAAAACAAAGCCAGAGGCGGACAGCAAGCGCAGAATCCGATTCCTGCTGGCAGCAAGTTTCCCGATTCTGCTGTCAGCAAGCATCTGTCAAGTGAGAGGCGGGAGTCTCGAGAGCAACCTCCAGGACCTACAGACAACAAAGCGGACACAGCCGGCCGAGGCCGGCCGAACAAGTTTAACAACAAGACGCCGGTGGAAGTCCTGGAGTCCAGCGGCCTGGTGGAGGTGAAGACTTGCCGGCAGAGCGTGCAACTTGCCAGCAACAATTTTTTCTGCTCAGAGTCTTGGAGTCTCAGTCCCAGTCCGAGTCCTACTTGTATCTGTAGTCTGCAGTCCGTGGTCCGTATATATTATATAATATAATTTACATAGAGTCGAGTCATACAGAGTCATCATACAGTCATACAGTCATGCGTTGAGTCATACAGTTATCTTGGGGCATCATCCAAGGGTGGACTTCTTGTCGAGAGACATCTTGAACAAGCTTTGCACAGATGTTGAAACAACGGAAGTTTACAAGAAGACGATGGCCGAGTTCTCAGGGAAGACTAGCGAGTACCAGAGGAAGGCCACCGCGCTGGAAGCCAAAGTGAAAAAATGGCAAAACCGGCCATCTGAAACTGATGAGCTGGCAGGAAGGCAGAAGGAGCTTGCGAGCATGCTTCACGCAGCGGCAACAGTGTTTCAGCTGTCAGCTAAGAGATCGCCCAACACAGACAAGATGGAGCAGATCCTGACAACTTTGAGACATGAGGGCTTGGAGGCAGGACTTAAGATTCGCGAAGTTTTTGAGTTTTGTGTATGTTTACCAGTATAGGCTGGCGGCTGGCTGATAATCCATAGTCCATAGTGCATGGTCCATAGCCTATAGTCTATAGTCTATAGTCTATAGTCAGTATAGTCTATAACTGCAGGCTGTTTGGATCCTGCAGGTGCCCATGGCCTGGTGTGACTTGCTGCTCCAAGAGAAGCTCGCGGAATGCTTGCGCTTCAAGAAGTTGGACGAGTTTGCGCGCACGTGCCAGCCAGGGAAAGGTCCTTTCGAGGGAGTTGCAGACGAGCGAGCTGACGTGATGCAAGCCTGCATTCACAAGTGCCTTGGCCAAATTTTGTGCGACCTTGTTCCGGATCCGGCTGTCAGCCAGAAGAAGAACAAGAAGGGAGCAGCAACTGCGAAAGAAAGGAACGCTCAAATCCAGACAATGCTGGATCTGGCCTTGCGTTTGGTGGAGGAAAACGCACTGCCGGAGGAGATGTTGCGAGACTTGGACATCCTAGCCGATGCACTTGATGAGAAAAGAGCGGACCATGCTACTGCGCACAACCGGCTGTCAGCCTGGAAGCAGGACGACGAGTACTTTGGTGTTTTGCGGCCAGTGGTCAGAAATGAGCACTGGTCTGCGCTCGTCCAGCAGTTTTCCGCCCCAGCCTCCGCCGCCTCGACCTCTGCCTGCCTCCGTTCTGCTTTCAACAAGGTGAACGGGAACACGTCGCCAGTGTCAGAACAGGACAGAGGCGAACTTGTGGGCGCACTCCAGGGCTCGGCTGAGCAACCGGCCGATTATGACTATCTGAATAGCGTGTTGTGCGGTCTGCAGCTGTTGGCAGAAGAAGCAAACTAGCAGCAAAAGGACTTTGTTCTGCGCGTTTGCAAAGACATTTGCGGCCGTGGTGTGTCTGCTTCAGATTTTCATGGGGATGAGGATTTGATGGAGCAGATGTTCGCGAAAGGTCACTGGGAAGTTTCGGTTGTGAAGAACGCAATTTCAGAGAGTGCAGCAGAGCAGCAACACAAGAACACGGTGCTGCAAACCTGCGAGAAGCTTGCGGCAGCGAGCAGCAAAGTTTGCCTGTGGCATGGGTTGCTGAACGCCATACTGACTTTGGCCAAGACGGCGCAGGAGCATGCGGACAATGGGTTGGATGCAAACGTCCAAGACGATTTGGTGCAGTGCTGGAGTGAGGTGAAACACCGACTGCAGACAGACCCGGAGATAGCCGCAGCAGCTCAGCCCGTCAAGGAGGCCTTGGAGAACTTGCTGAACGCCACGAAGACTGAGCAAGTGGGACCTCAGGTCTACGAAGGCGCCATGACGGAGCTCCGGCTGTCAGCCATGGAACTGCTGAGGCTTGCCAAAGAGTGCCGCAAGCCAGAAGTGCAGGAAGCTGCTAGCAACTTGCGAAAACTCGAGCATCGCTGCATGCAGTGCTGCTCGCTGTCAGACACGCCGGTCTTCGCTAGGTCTTGCGTCAGCCTTGTCACCACCGAGTTCGCCGGTGTGTGTGAGGTGTTGCCTTCCGCTGCCAGCGAGCAAATACCGGATGATATTTTGAACAGCTCGGTTATGCAGCACTTGCGAGCCGCCAATGACAAGGAGACCAACAAGCAGAAGCTGGTGCATGTGCTGCACTCTAGCGGCTGCGAGCAGTTCTTGGAGCAAGCGTCCAAGCTACTGGAAAGGCTCGAGCCACTTTTCACAGCTAAGAAGGTGTCACTTGAAAAGCTCCTCGTGGAGGCTGCTGCCAGTGCAAAAGCCAAGCTGGTTAATCCCCACATGGGCATGGATGAGTTCTTGCAGTCCGCAGCCTCTGGTGAAGCTCTCAAGAAAGCCTTGAAGCAACTGCGTGCAGCGGAAAGGGACATGCAAGGCCACGGCATGCTACAGGACGGCTCTGAGCTGCAGCGCGACGTCTCTGAAGTCAAGGCGTCTTGCCGTTTGCAGATCATCAAATGGGGAATCGTGACTTTGGTCGCCAATGCCGACATCGCGGCGGACAACAGCAAGGGGAAGGGCCTCAGGAAAACTTTGCGGGACGTCTGGAACAGTCATTGTGATGATGGTGATGTCAAGAGTGTCCTGGGGCAGGCGGTAGTGGACTTGGTAGAGCAGTCGTTGGCGACACCAGAGAAGACCGAGGACCCCGGCGCCGTTGCGCCCAAGAAGCGTGGTAAAAAAAAGTAGGTCTGCGGCTGACAGCCAGCGCCACGACGACTACGAGTCACTACACGTCCGGCTGACAGCCAGCCACCTGCCAACTTTGCGCTGCAACGTCCGGCTGACAGCCAGCTCCTGCGAGCTCTGCGCTGCTGCGTCCGGCTGCCAGCCAGGCACGGCGAGTTCTGCGCTGCAGCGTAGAGAGTCTGAGTCGTTTTTGAAACTCCTCCTTTTCCTGTCGGCCCGGTTCCTAGCCCGTAGCCCCAAAGTGCGACAGCGTTCCAAGCTAGGCTAAACCGCAAAACCTCACACTCAGCCGGGCTGTCAGCAAGGGGGGTTGCCCACGTCACTGTCACTGCGAGTTGTGTGCAGAAGAAATGAGTGCCAGGGATTCATGAGTCATTCGTCATTATACTATTTATCTTAAATATGAATCTGAATGAATATATAATATTTATATATATCATATAATTGTGTGATTTTTAGTATTATTATTGTTATATATAATATATATATATATATATATATAACATATATTATATACATATTAATTTCCGGAATTTCCGGCAAATCATGAAATTCATGAAAGCCGAATTTCCGGAATTTCCGGCAAATCCTAAAATTCATGAAATCCGAATTTCCGGAATTTCCGGCGAATCACGAAATTCATGAAATCCGAATTTCCGGAATTTCCGGAAAATCATGAAATTCATGAAAGCCGAATTTCCGGAATTTCCGGAAAATCATGAAATTCATGAAAGCCGATTTTCCGGAATTTCCGGAGAATCATGAAATTCATGAAAGCCGATTTTCCGGAATTTCCGGAAAATCATGAAATTCATGAAAGCCGATTTTCCGGAATTTCCGGAATTTCCGGAAAATCATGAAATTCATGAAAGCCGATTTTCCGGAATTTCCGGAAATTCATAGTATTGGAATGATTGGAATTATTGGAATTTCAGGAATTTCCGGAAATTCATGATATTCGAATTATCGGAATTTCAGGAATTTCCGGCAAAACGAGCAACATGAATTTCCGGATGGACGCTAAACCATCTTCCAGAAGCAAGCTCTTGGATTCACACAAGGTAGGGGTTCCTTATTATAAATTATAGTAACTTTGTCGAAGTTGGGTAGCATTTTACATATTTATGGATATTTAAACCCAATAAGGAATAAACGTGTAATTTTGCATCCTATCCCAACCATGAACTAGGTAAAGTGGGCCCCAAAATCCTATTACGGGTTTGCCCTCAGCTTTGCACTGGAAATCGACATCTCAGAGGGGTCGGAAGGGTTTCTACAGGGGCCCTGCAGCCCAAACCAGAGCCCTGAAGGCACTTGGACGCGCGTGCCGTGGACGTCGTGCGTCACGGCCACAGCTGACATGCAGGGGTTTTCACCCACCTAAACTTCACAGACTGGAACTTCGTGAAGGCTCAAAATCCTGACGTTCAAGTCTTTGCCGGCACTTAAGGTGCTCTGAAAAGTTGCTTCGAGGCCCACATACCTTTTCAGTGGGTTCCCTTACTTGGATGATGTAAAGCCGTGGATTCACAAACATCGCAGAAGAAACTTCGAGCCCTACATGGTTTCGTGTGACCGAGGCACCAGACATTACAAATGTTGGTCCACAGGGGTCGTTAATGGAACTATATGTAACACACCCCAAATGCCCTCTTTGAAGGTTCTGTTTATAAAGGCCACTTTTGTCTATTTTTCCAATCAAAGGGTGTCGAAGTCTCTTGCCTTCTTAGCTTTGCCGGTGTTGAAGGATTCTCAGGCCTCTAGGGCTCCAGTGCTGGGTCTTTCGGCTTAGCAGAGTGAATAAGCAAGGAGAAAGTTAGTTTTTAGCTTGGGAGTGCCGGCAAAATACAGTACAATCCCTTCACCAACTACAAAACCTCAGCATTGGGGCCTGAATACTATGCATTATAGGGTTCCATGTTTGTACAAACACTATAACTACCCCAAGCCTTGTTCTAATCACAAAGACCACATATTCCCTGGCCCAAACCGTAAATTCACTTTGATCAAATGTGAAACCATGTTCACTTGTCGTAACCACGAAGGCACATCATTTGTCTCCCTTTACTAGGAAGACATCCCGACGCTGAGTCTGGCGGTTCCTCGCAGGCCGTTGAGAGGGGCCTTCTTTGTGTGGCTGGTGCTCTAAGGTTCCAGGGTTTAGGGGTCTTAGGGTCTTTGGAGTTATGTACGATTTCAAGGTGTTGTGTTTGGTTTCGGGGTGTTCAATTGAGGAATGCTTGCTGGGGTTTCAATCGGAGAGAGTGGGTGTTTTGGTTCAAGGATTTTGTATGTATGTAATCGTAGGTTTTTTGTCTACGTCGGTTTGTGTTTCGCAGTCTGGCATGTTATCGTCAGGAGGAAACATGGTCTATGTTGAGCTGGAGACTTGGGGGTGGTTCTTCGTTCAAAGCCCAGAATTCAGCATTCAGGGGTTTCGGTTAGATAAGCAAGTACAACTGCTTATGTATATATACATACATATACACACACACACACACTGTGAGTAAGTAAACGATCAAGCATGCAGGCAGGCAAGCAAGCAAGCAAGCAAGCAAGCCGTGCCGTTAAACGAACCGTTAGCAAGTCATATCCGGCCCTCGGAGGAAGACCTTTTCTGGACATGTCCGAGCGGGAGCATCACAAAGACCGTGCAACTCAAGTTAATCCTCAGAACCGTAAACCCCTGCCGTGCACTTGGTTTAAAGTTCATGGTGCCCAAAACCGTGAACTTCAAACCCTAAACTCCTTGGTTTGCTATCCCTGCTCCAGGCCCTCCTTTCCGGCACTGCAGGGCTCTCCAAGTTGGAGCCTCGGATGCTTGCAACGTTTGTCCTTCCAAGTGTGCATGTGTGCTTCCAAGATATTTTGATGCTTGGTGCTGGTTGAGCTTATAGGTATTATAGGTGCCCAGTAAAGACTGTTAGTGCCTGGCGCGTTGCGCAGACAGCTGATTTCACTTGTCCACACTTCTATAGTGTTCGTACACGCAGTATACATTTTGCTTATCCCACGGCTCACCTCGCAAGCTCAGAACAAACATGCAAAAGGCATTTACATCAGGACCCAGAAGTGATTCGTCCCAGAACCGAGAACGCGCACATGAACCCAACAGTCCCACAACAATCCTAAAATTGCAAGAAAGGAATCCAGTCTTTAACGTCCAGAGCCCTGGGCCTAGAGTGCTGGAACCTCAATAGGCCCAGCAGCTTGCACCCATGACAGCCCTCAAGAAACCCCTACTTAAGCCTGTTCTAAAGCCGATGATCCCTTCATGTCGCCATGGCTGAAGACACGGGGTCCGGCTGCTTCCGGGCCCTCTTCGGGCAGGTTCCGGCATGAGATTCAAAGCCTAAACTAAGCTCGAGGCAAATTATG